AAGCGCGTTTATAGTTTTACCCTTGAAAAGAAGTTGCTGTACAACTTTTTGAGCCTGAAAATGTCAAAGAGGGTTATCAGACTAACAATGGCATCCTTGTGTTGATCATTATAATATCAGCAGTACAAGAAAGTAACAGTGGCACTATAAACCATACTTAGCAAAATGTTCTCTCTGGACAGAATTCTCCTCTATTGTATATTCCAAATATTTTCAGGACTGAGCCATAAAACTCCATCCATCCATCCATTATCTATACACCGCTTAATCCTCATTAGGGTCGCGAGGGGCTGGAGTCTATCCCAGCCGACTCAGGGCGAAGGCAGGGGACACCCTGGACAGGTCACCAGTCTATCACAGGGCTACACTTAGAGACAGACAACCAAGCACACTCACATTCACACCTACGGACAATTTAGAATCACCAGTTAACCTCAACATGTTGTTGGACTGTGTGGGAGGAAACCGGAGAACCCGGAGAGAACCCACGCTGCACGGGGAGAACATGCAAACTCCACACAGAAAGATTCCGGTGCCCCCACCGGGACGCACACCGGCAACCTTGTTGCTGCGAGGCAACAGTGCTACCAACTGCGTCACCTTGCAGTCGCCATAAAACTCCTGAACACTATATTACATTTTTAAAAATTTTCCCGTCAATAGGAAACTCATTTCTTTTGATGATTATGATGATTTCTTATCAGCCGTCAGTAGAAGTTGTACCCCCCCCCACCCCCACACACACACCTACTACAGTACCCAGAAGCCCCACCAAACTCTGACAAAGCCCACGATCAGAGCAGCTGTTACACTTCTATGCTCTCTCTCTCCATTGTCACTCTCCTAAGCACCGATTTGACATGGTCCAGTGGCTGCCACTTTGCTCTGCGAGAGCCCCTACTATCCTAATACCCCGCATGGCTGTTTGAAAGGAATTTAATCTTACCATGTAAGTCTGATCCAACAATCTTTTGAGCATTCACTCGTGTGGAATCTGTAAAATACTGCATAACTGATCATAAACCGGCACAAAGCCAGTTTTTTTTTTATCGCACAGAGTCAGTCACCTCATCAGAAATGTAGCGATGGAAGGCGTCTAATCTATATGTATGCCTCACACAACTTTACAGGATGACAATATAGCATAAACACTATTCCTCACACCACACCTGTTGTAACGGTGAACAAGGAAAATAAAAGTTATTCGAAACTTCTCACATTCAAGATGCAGTTAAGTTTACGAAACGCGTTCACATTTAAGCCTGTTCCACATTAATCTGTTATAATTAGGGGCTTTACCGTCACATGTGTAATTTGTGATTTTAGTGCGATGCCCTTTATTCGAAGAGGCTCCCCATCGAGATCCAAACACCACCTTCTTTCTCAAGTTCCACTCGCTTATAAAACACCATGGGTTTCCTCAGCAGGGGGGTTTCTTTCATCTGTCTTTCTGACAAGCTGAAATGTCTTTCTGGTGGTTTTCTGGTCTGCATTGTAAGCTAAATCTACAATTTCAGCATTTTGTGGGTTTGACAAAGTTCAACAGCTGTTTTGTTAGCGTTAAAAACTACAGCGCTCGTGGGACGTGGGCTGCGTACCGAGACTCGTACGATATTTTTTGCTAAATACCGATTTAGTGTAGGTAGGAGCTGTCATGTTACATCCAGTGGTCCATTGTAATTGTTTAGCTATTGTTTTGTTATTTATGGTGCTTTAGATGTTGAATAAATTCGGGAAAATCCTCATGCTTACATTACAAATATATTCCCAGTAGATCATTAACTATGCTCTCTATAAAGTCGGATCTGCCTGTGGATGAAGCAGACCTGTGTGAATACATGATATTCCCATCCTGCATCAATATTACACAGCTCATCAATGACTAATGTTAATAAGTACTAGTGGGTGTCTGGAGATTCTTAAAAGCTCTGAACACATCTTAAATTGTCTAAGACTTTAAAACAGTATGTCTGAAAAACTGTTTTTTTTTTAAATAGCGATTACAAGATAAATCAAATGACGCAAGACGAATCACATGAGTGTCGTATTTTTGTGAAGTAAAATCTTTTCTTCAGTCCACATGTGATGGGTAAACACGCTGATAAATGGACAACTTTTTGTCTTCATTCCAGTTTATTTTAAGTGTTTTTACTTCCAGTTAAACCCACAGTTTTAGAGTTTTACCATCACCCAGGGCAGGTTTGCTTGAGGCGTGCCACAGCGAGCCAAGCTGTGATGACAATCGCTTCTCTGCAGCCTCCCGGCAGGGAATAGCAGAGTTTCACTGCTCTGCTAATGCTGCCAGAGTTAATTTTGATTTAGTCTTAGACTTGTAATGATAATGTGTGGTTGTGGGATGTCTTTCTATTTCAGTCTAGTTTTTTTTTTTTTTTCATTTTAGTCTAATTTGTCATTTGTCATGTATTTTTAATTTTTATCCCTTGAAAGCATTTTGAGGCTACAGCTGTCGCCATCTTTCTCGTGTAGTTACCATGGTTACTGCTTGTTCTCGTCTAAGATTGTGCGGTTAGCGGAAGAGGCTCTGTTTACTTATTCACAAACACTCGAGGTCTTTTTACTCTCAGTAAATCCGGTTGTCGTTTCTAAACTGTGTGAACAGATTCGCACTTTCTCTGTTCTCTTCCCGCTCACATGGTGTTAGCATTAGCACGGCGACCTGTTCTCTCTATCCCTGAGCGCTTCAGTGAAAGGCAACCAGATTTCTCTTCTTGGTTCTTGAAGAAGTCTAAACTCCCATCCTGACTGAGTCCCAGTTATTTATTTTCACCCCCAACTCACATGGCTAATGGTTCATTAACGACCCACATGCCTTGAACGGTTCTAAAACTGCTGCTGATGATGATTCAGTGAGTTGATGATGATAAAACCCTCTGGGGAGAGATCTCAAGACTGCATCATAAATACCTGATAAGTGGTGTTGTAGACTACCTCTCCTGTTTAAAAATCAGTTTAATAGCTGGTTGCCTTCAGTCCTCTCTCAAACCGTCTGTCCTCTCTGTCCAGAATGTGAACACTGCTGACCTCAGAGCTTATCTTTTAGATGCACTGTGGATAGCTGGGGGGTTTTCTGAGGACATTGGTTCTCGTCTGTTGTGCACTTGTGAAGCAGTTGTTTAGTGATTCTGAACCAAGGTAAAAAACTTTACAATGCTAGACGTAAAGAAGATATATAGATGCTAATAATCCACACCTGTCCACACTGAATGTCAACAATACTGAGAGTGTATACTGTCTATAAACATCCTGGTAACTGGCTTGATAAACCATTCTGTCACGGGATAACTAGTGCTGGTTGACCCAAATGCAGAAATGACACTCAGGACAGATGGAATCCAAAAACAAGGTTTATTGTAGAAATTGATATAGTAAAGATGAGAAAGAAAACGAGGCGGGGGTGTTACCGGTAGGGAGTAGATTGTCCAGGAAGCCACGGAGAAGGCCCGGGTTTGGAAACACAGACGGGAAGCGGGAACACTGGAGAATCCTCAACGAAGTAAAGGTGGTCTCGCTGACACTCGGAAAAAGGCACGAAGGGATGCACGAAGGGAGGCTCGGAGGAAACTTGGAGGAAACTCGGAGGAACACGAAGGGAACACTCGGGTGGTGGCTAGAAGTCGCCATGTAGGGCAACACTCAGGCAAAGAGTGAATGGTGACGGCTCCTCTTATACAGGTGGTGACGACCCAAATGAATTGCAGGTGTGTAGCTCACACACCTGCAGGGAATCAGTCAATGAGAGTTCCTCCAGGACGCCCTCTGGTGGACACCTGGAGGACAACAAAAACACAGGGCCAAAAATCACCATTCCCTGACACATTCGTATTTATCGTATCAAAGTGTGTGGCAAAAACTTTGTATAGAAACACATCATGCCTTCCTTTGAATAGGAAAAGTACAGCTTTAGACGGTCTTTCTATTGTCGTTGGTATTCTACAGACATGCCGCTGCTTCCACTATCAAACGCCTGGACTCAGTTTATCATTCTGCCCACATGTTCATTACCACAGATCCCTATGACACTTACCACTGCATTCTGAACAACAAAGTTTGTTTGGTGCTCTCTTGCACAGAGGCGTGATAAACATTTGTTTCTTTTGGTCTATAAATCCCTTATTGGACATTCACCACCTTATATAACATCTGTGCTGAGCTGGACTAAAAGGCTCGCCTGTGAGTTTATATCTGAACTTGGAAAATATGCCGTTAGTTTTTTTGTGCACCAAATACGTAGGATGATCTACAATATCAAATCAAGATCAACACTCGCACACCCTTTTTGGACCGTTCAAGATGAAGATGTCAAAATACCTGACTGCTTTGACTTTTTAAGTCTGCATATTCCACCGTATCTCGACATCATTGCAAATAGAGATTTAAGCGAATGAATAAGTTACACCTGGTTTGCATTCTGAGGAAAGAAAGTTTTTGTTAGCTGACTTTTAAACACATCTCTGACCCATGATGTAAGATTGTGGTCTTGTGTTGTGTTTTTTTTTTTTTTTACAATAGGTTGCACTAGTTAGGTGTCCAATTAACATTTAATTGAATAAATGTGTACATATGGATATATTTTATATATACACTCCTGAGTTCAAGCTTGATCATCAAAAGTAACAGAAAAATTCATGCTTTTATTTATTCTATTTTTTTATGAATTTTCAAGCGACGCCTTTCAGAACTTCTAACCATGTATGATGTACTTCACAATTTCCTCTTGCTTTGTCTGTGTGTATCGCTATGTGTAATATGAGTGTCCTTAGTGATAGATTTTTTTTTTTCTCCACCATTTGTAAATATGATGATTAGAAAACATCAAAATGCAGATAAGCAAAACAAATCAATAAATTCTCTCACTCTGGGGAGATGAGAAAACTCCATGTGCATAAATTGATTTCTATTGTTTTGTTGTTGTTTTTTTAGCTCAACTCGTCATTATTATCTGAATAACAACTAACCTTCTCTCTCTTATACCTTTTTAGGATGGTATGGGGAATCTGCGGGTGACCAAGGAAGGAGTCAGACTGGAAGGAGTGTCGGAATTCTTACTGCCTTTATACGTCAAAGAGATCCAGTCTCGTAGGGTAAGAACACACAACTTGTGTAGGTTCACAAGAAAATTCTGGTGTTTAATTAGTCTCAGAACGCGTGCATGTGAAAACAAATCACATGCACATAATAAGAAAAAGCAGAAATACAACCTCGCAATGGAGCATGTGAGCTCTACCGGCGCACAAATGCAGTCCTGTGAGTTTAGGACTGTGATGGATGCTTTCCCATTCGTGCTCATACATGCACATGCCTGGTTGTTCGATGCACGCATTTTGAAAATAATCAAAGGCCATAGAAAACCATGCTGCAGTGGAGAACGACGATGAATGGTTTGTTCGATTTTTCCGTTTATGCTTTGAAGTAAATGTAGTTCTCCTTCAATCGGCTTAATCTTTCCCATTGTAGCTGCTTATATTTTATATTGTGTGGTGCTTTGTTTATAGCGTTGCATGCTGTTTGTTTGCGGCCCTTTGTTCCACCCCCTATAATGAGCAGAAATCAGACGTCGTTCTCAGCAGTCGGGGGCCTATTAGTCATGTATGTGACACATCACAGCGGTATATATGATCCAGCACTCTGCCATATCTCCATTCATCACACACAGAATCATCATCGATCTCATCAGCGGAGGCAACTCGGACACTTTGTCACTCTATATAGGGCAACCCTTCTGACACAGTGTGTATATGTGCTTGAGCGTATGTATGAATAGCAGCAGAGGGTATTGACTTTAATAGTGTCACAGTACCACAAACCCATTGTACGGGTGCATTTGTGTCAAATAGAAGGGGGCTGGACGGGTGGGAGATGCAATCGCACAGCAAGAGATTAATGGTATGATGAGGTAGGAAAGAAAGACATTGGTAAGAGATCTTCTCTTTCTCTAAATAATGTCAGTGCTTCTTTTTATCAGACATTGTTGTTTGTTACATGGGATAAATGAACCATTATCAGTTCACTCTGTGCTTCTTCTGCCACTTACTGTGTTGGAAAACATCTGCAGGAACCTTCAACACCATTTGAAAGCACCCAAAAGCATTAACCTGGAAACAATAAAAAAAACAGTTGACTGCTGTGTGAGCATTATAACACAGACACACGTTTATATAGAGATAATCACGGTGAGGAGATGGCATGAAGTGATTTGAAAGGTGTTGTTAAATGAGTGAAGGTTGATAAGGAGAAGACAGAAAAGTGGTAAGGAAAAAGAACAAAGGCAAGAAGAAAAGTAGAAGTGGCTTGTAAGAGGAAGGTAAAAGGACTGTTGTGCTTATACAGTTATGAATGAACGGGATGAGTGAGAAAAGCCACAGGCTGTCTTCAGATCTCTGAATTGTGATTTACATTTTTATCAACATTAGAAAGCAGTTGAAAAGGCCGACATGTAACAAAGGTTGTCAGCCGACTTTGCACCAACATTGTTGTAAATATAAAGTAACCCCAGCCTTTATTTATTTATTTATCCACCACTTTTGGTTTGTTTTTGCCGCAATTTGTCTTTTTTTTTTCATATTAAGGTTATTTGAGGCACATTTCTGTAATGAAAATTAGATAATAAAATGTTAAAATATAAAGACATTTGTAGATTTAGACTCCAGGATTCACACTTCCTGTCTAACATTATGAGAAGTCAGAATTTTATACTGTGACATTATTAGAGGTAGTGCACACGGCAAACGTTACACACCTGTTCACTGTGCATTTGAACATATATTATATTAAATGTGAATGGAAATGAATAATTGATATGTAAACCTAATACTAACTGACATAAAGGAGACATTTTTTTTCAGCCTCAGTGTATTTATTTATTTTTTTACTTCACATTATATAGTTTCAATTATGCCAGGGAACTTGTAGTCAGTCCACACATTTCCATGTGACTATCTAACAAATGAAAGCTGACATTGTGTAGGAAGCATCTCTCACTATACAGGTATTTCCCACTGGATTTACAGTAATTGCTCACTCACATAGACGTGATTAACACAATTTAATTCCATCCAAGTGCATTACTTTTAACACGGCAGTGAATATTACATCGCCGTCTAAGTCTGAGCCCTGAGAATGTTTAACGAACAAACTTCGAGCTTTAGCTGTAAATCATCTCAAGATGTGAGCATAGCAGTTTGATCAACCATGAAAAAGCATGTTGTCTAAATTAAATCCCTCGATAGAATCACTTGCATATGTCTAATTTATATCTTTTCTTTTCTCTTGAATGCATCCACACGCAAAAAAAAAGCAAATAAATAAATAAAGAGACTGTACAGTGTGTACTTTTCATGCATTGTGGTTTTGTTTCCTGCAAACCTTCACACTTTTGTGATAGCAGCGCGTTTGTGTGCGCCTGTCTATACGTAGTGTGTGCTTGTGTGTGTATTCGACAAGGATGTGATTGTCAACCGTTGCGTTTGCAAGTCCGTGTGATAACGTGTGGTTAAGGTTTTGCGTTCATCTGTCTCAGTATCTATTGATATTGTCTGCCTCCCAAATGCTTTTTTTTCCCCCTTTCCGCTTTATTTCGACTGTGTGAAGAAGCCAATGCACGTCTCTGCATGTGCAGGTTGGTGCGTGCGAGGCAGAGCTTATCTTCTTACATGAAAGAAAGCAGCAGGTTTCCTCTAAAATTTTCTAAACAGCAGGAATGCTCTTATTTTGATATTGACAGTCGCCACGCTTTTACTGTGAAGTGTAGTTGCATTCGGGGAGGGGGGGGGAGCATACTGAATCAGAAGTATCCACTAAACTCCCCGAGGACACAACAGTCTACTGCTTGTTTTGTGAAGAGACACACTGCGGAGGGATGGGGGATACAAAAGAGAGAACCACAAAAAGACAGAAAAAAAAAAAACTGAGGCAAGTAGAGAAGAATGAGATGGTGAAGAATAAGGGATGTGAAAGGGGAATTTTATAAGAGCAGGGGTCTCACAGCGGGGAACTATAAATGTTCCGTAACATTGTTTGGCAGTGGCTGGGCTTTACAGATTATCACGATGGTAGCAAACCAAGAACTCCATCAGAAGCATCAATAATTACAGAGATTGCTATACCCCTCGAATGTCAATAAGAGTGTCACTAATCAGCATTCAGTAGGAATATATCTAATCAACAGTGTGGGGATGTAAGATTGATTTAACCATCTTCAGAACCACTTTTCCATTGTTATCACATGACTACACAAAATAAAATGAACTTCATTCAAGTGCTTTAGCCAACAAGGTCTCATAGACTCACAGAGGACACAGAGGCAATAACTCTAACCCTGGGTCAGAGTTATAGCTGAACTCAGCCCTGATCCTGCATCGGGACACGAGTGAGCATAAATAAAAGTAACAGTAGTCATTAACATCAGAGAGCACTAAAAGAAACGTGAAGTTGACAAAAAGCGCACTTCCTGCACTGATTCCAGTACAGCTGTAGTTAACTGACCTGTCATGTGGTGGATGTAGACTCACAATTACACCAGAAATACAGTTGTGTACTCCACGAACCCATTGAAATGATACCGTGCCATTAGCCACGACTGCGTTGACAGAAAGGGAGACACAACACACTCGCAAAACTGAAGAGGATCCCTTGGGCTTGGATAAGTGGAGGAGAATATGAGTACTTCTACACGGAGAATGAAGGCAAAGTGGAAATGAGAGATGGTGATAGAAGAGAAACTTACAAAGGTGGGGAGAGATGAGCCATGGAAAACAGAAATAAATGATGGGAAAAGACAATATTTTGGTGCACATTGGAGGCATCAGTGCAGTCTAGGGATGTGAATGAATAAAAGTGGATATAGGCAGAACAATCCTATTTGGTTTTGTTCACACTCATATGTTATATATATATATATTACATCACACAATGTTTTGGGATATTAATGTATTCATATTAGTCTTCAATAAACCATTATACTATTAATGAACACTTAAGTGCAATAATAATTGCTTTCATAAATCCAACAATGGACATCCATCCATTATCTGTACACCGCTTAATCCTCACTAGGGTTGCAGGGGGGGTGCTGGAGTCTATCCCAGCTGACTTAGGGTGAAGGCAGGAGACACCCTGGACAGGTCACCAGTCTATCACAGGGCTACACTTAGAGACAGACAACCAAGCACACTCACATTCACACCTACAGACAATTTAGAATCACCAATTAAACTCAACATGTTTTTGAACTTGTGGGAGGAAGCCGGAGAACCCGGAGAGAACCCACGCTGCACGGGGACAACATACAAATGCCCCCACCGGGACGCGAACCAGCGACCTTCTTGCTGCGAGGCAACAGTGCTAACCAACTGCGCCACCTTGCAGCAACAATGGACATGTAAAACCATAAACAAAACTGAAAAGACAAACATTGTAAACACCATTCTGTTCCTCCAATGTGACATTTGCAATTGTGCGACACAAAGGGTGATCAAGCAGTGAGCCATAGGCTAAGGTCACACAAATTCAGTTTTTGCATATTGCAGGAAAGCAAAAGACAAGTAATGCTTTATATATATATATGAACTACCTTAACATACCAGTCAAGAAAAAAATAAAATAAAACAAATAATCAAAACTGAACAATGCCACCGGAATGTATGCTTTGCACTATATTTTAATTTTTTAATCAGGTTTTGCTTTTTCCTGAAAACAAATAATTAAAAAAAAATATATTTGTATGAAATAAATATTGCATGCATTTTGCCGCATAGCGAAGGATTTAAGACAAAACAGGGAACAAACAAGTGAAAGAATTACACTTTACTCTGTGACCAGGACTCGTCATGCATGCACTGGTTATATTCACGATGGTTTGGTGTCCCCGTGGTCATGGGTGTAGGTATACTTTATTAATCCCCCCCAAAAATGGGCGAGAAATGTTTAAGCTCCCCTTTTAAATTCTGAGAAACTAAACTGTGGAATAGATGTATAGAACTGTAGGAGAAAGGAGGAAAGCATGAAGATGACATCTCTCCCACGCAGCCGTATTACGCTTTATTCAAAAACATCACAGGCTCGCACACATACACACATTTTGCATAATTGGGGCCATCCCCCAGCAGTGCATTGTGGGAGAGGTAAATGGAACATTGTGACTCCCAGTGAGAGCTAAATACAGAACACTGCATATAAACTACATACTAACAACAACAGCGACACAGTGAGAAATTAGATTGGCTGGGTGGGTTGGAGGAGACGGGGTGCAGGAGAGAGAAATATAATTGTGGACTAGAAAGGGAAGGTATAAAAATAAAAAAAAATAGAGAGAGAGGGAAGAAAAGGTGGTTGCAATGAAGTAAAGGAGTAAGAGGGAGGCAAGCAGGCATAAACAGGTAGAGGAAAAGTTATGAATATAAGAAGAGTTTTCATAGAGAGACAAAGGAAAGCAATAAGAAAGACAGAGAACCAGAGAGACCTGCTGGAATACAGGTGCATAGATTGCACTTTCTGGCTTTTTTTTGTTTTTAGAAATATGGCGGTGTTTCACATTTTAGCACGGTGGCCTTGATTTTGATAAATGCTGTAGGGGTCAAACGGTTTAATCACAGTGTTGTTTTGTTTTGTTTCACCTGCCCTACAGGTAAATGGATTACTGTGTAGTTTGAGTGTGAGTAATTTTGGCAGAACAAACCTTGCCGCAAATGTGTTTGGATTATATTTTTTTGTAATTTCGGGGTGGGGGCGGGTGGGGGGTTGCTTTGCCTCGGCAGTAGCCGTTTTCCGGCCCCAGCTCCTCCACATGCTGAAGTGTCTTTAGGGCAAAACACTGAACCCAAGGATGCTCCTGATGCCAGGCGAGCATTGATGCATGGGTGTTTGTGTGCATGGCTGTAAAACACACTGTAAAGCACTTCTCAGAACCTATCTCAGGTTAAAAGGCTGTCGGTGTGTGTGTGTGTGTGTGCGTGTGCTTTCAGTTCATAATCACATAACAGATGAATAAATACCCTCCCATGTAGAGAGGAAAAATAGCAAACACTGCATAACAACCAGAGCATAACTGACACAATCACCACACCATCCCCGTGTTTCAGTGAGGCGCACAACATTTCCCTCCTTGTAAGGTTCACCTAGTACATATCAAAACTGTTTGGGCAAAGAATGAAGCTGGTTACCAGCCAAAATATCTGCCAGCCAGTTGCTCGGAAGCTACCAACACCACATTCCACTGGATCGCCTCTGACAGTAAGTGCAGAGCCACATAGTGTGGAACACATCATGTGCTGTCTCTATTAAAAGATTTGGGGTGCACATTGTGGACAGATCACACTGCAACAAATGTGTTTGAGATCAACAAAAAAGGTGCAGATGCAGACAGGACAGGCTGGGCAAAATG